ATCATGATCATATGCAATCACAAACTAGACCAAGAAAAACCTGACCTAACTAGAAAACCTCCAGCATCTATTATATTCCATAAAAGGCTAAAGTCTACAAATTATGTATGTGACCCATAAAGTCATCTGATCTCGCAATAATGAATGCTTTGTCACTTTATTGACAAGCTACTCAAATATTATCACACTATGGACAATCATTCGCAGAGTGAAACTTATTTCCAGATCTTTTTTTTCACCACACTAACAAATCAATAATGAATAAATTAACAAATTTAAGAATAATGTGCAATATATGATTACTTTTTCTAAATAGAAAATTTAGTATTAGCGTTAGACCTAAGGTTTATAAGTTTAGCGTGAACATTATATACAAATAATTTTTAAAGTTGCATACAAGTGGGTCTATGATAAATATGTAAGCCCAGTATATCTAGGGATATTTTTTTTAGTTTCATATAAAAGTTTATATTATTTCAGGAAAAAATGCAGGTTTTGTATTCTATTTGTCCCGTGTTATTACGCAATTTAGGTCGATCCGGAATTGACACTTATCATTCATGAATCATAAAATAAAGTAGGATTTAACTATAATTGGGCCTAAACTTTCAAGCATATTTGCAAACTTCCGAATCGAACTCAAATCAAGCCCGAACCAAGCCGGAAGTTTGATATTCAAACTTAAACCAAACTCAACTATAAAAATAGTTTGAGTTTGAGTTTGATTTAAATTTCAAATCGAACCCAAACCATATCTAAAGTTTGATTTGGTTTGGGTTCGTAGGAATCCTAGGGGAAAATCTAAAGCAGAGTAGAATCACGTGATATTTGACTAATAAAATTATAGAATTTTGATGATTGCTAGCAAAGCAAAACAAAAAATAAAAATGAAAAACCTGTAAAATACAAAAAATGGTAGTCTAAACCCACCTCAGGTAAGTTAATTAAAAATGTCGAGAAGGCAATATTGCTTATATATAACTATCTAAACCTAACCTAACTCTAATATAAGATGACTCTAACTTTAAAGTTAATTCAATAAAATATATATTATAAGAATCTGCTCTGCTTTAGACGTTTTTCAAAAAAGATTACATCACTGATCATATTTATGTATATCGATTTGTTCTATAGAAAAATACTCCAATATCATCCTAATTTGTCTTGTCTGATAGCTCTATAAACTGGTCAACTAGATGTTTCATGACTAGATTGCAGACATTAGAATATCAATTAACATATACTATGACGTATATGATGTGACGTATTGACGTGATATATTATATTATATATAAATCTTATATGACGCAAAAGATGATATGAAAAGGTAGCTACCTTTGATGTTTGCAACTATATTCATGACATTATCCCGATTTTAGCTATATAGTTCTAATCCCAAAGTATTACGTCTAAAAATATACACCAATCATGCCAAAATCAATAACTTAATTGAATCAGTCAAAAGTTATTTTTATTAGGTTCCAGAATTTGAAAAGAACTGTAATTCTTTGTCATATTACTACTTGGGTGATCTTTTTATACTAACCAGATGAACATGACTTGGCTCAAGCCGGCTTATATTAGCCTAGCTTAAAAGTCATAGCTAAGCTAGCTCACATAAGCTGAACCCAACTTTGTTTTCTTACTCTGCCAACTTTTAATCTCTATTGCCTCTTTAAATTATTTCATTTCTACCAATATCGTATTCTTTAGGTTCTATCATTTGTCGTCTTTGCTTTTATTATCACTAATATATTTGGTGCTATTTAGTTGTTGAGAGGTGGATATTGCAATAAAAATTAGAGTTTACGTAATTACATGTTATAACTGATAATTGTCTAATAATTTCGCATAGCAATTTATCTATCAGAAAACAAAACAGAAAATATAAACAGGTAAGTATAATATGAAATTTTATCCAAGTGATTGTAGTTAACTTTTCTATATTATTTCTAGAATGTTCGTACCCACTTGAGAAGCTCTTAAAACTGTCCTCCCACAAACCTCCAACGAAGATATTGGAAAGTATGATGAACAGCTTAATAAAGTAGACAATTTTGATCCTGTTCTTATCATTTCACCGAATTGCAATTGGATAGCTCAAAATACGTATCAAAAATTATCAAACGGTGATGAATGCATTTGCGACTAATTATCTCTAACCAAATAATCGCAGGGACGAAAGATCACTTTACGTATTCCACTTTTTGACCGTGACTGAACCCTACACCATACGTGAAAATATTTGCAGACTTTACCCCAACGCATTCTTCGATCCTAACGCTTAACCTCAACAAGAACCGATTGGTACTGCTTGGATACTTACTAAAGTAGAAGTACGCAAAAGTGATTTTGGTGAAGATAATAGGTTCTTTGTTATCTGTTAAGTTTTTAAATTATGATCAAGTGAATTAGAAAATTGTTCTTTTTCATAAGCTAGAATTATATTTAATGAATCAGATGATTTGTTATCACAATTATCAAAATCTAAAGTTCGAAAAATAAAAGCCTCGAAAGGCACATCTTGATTTTTTATACTGATTTTTAGCATTAACAATTTTATTATACAAATCAAAACAAAATTATTTTTATTTTCTTTTCTAGTTGAATTTGACAGGGTGTAGTATCGATTTTACTGTCACGTAATGATCAGAAGCTAATATTGTTGGGCTAAAAACCGTTTATATTTGAAGTAAAGTTTAGATCAAGGTTAAGAAGAATAGTAGCAAAATTGTACAAGAAAATTTTTTTGTTAGAACTCTAAAGATAGTTTATATATTTAAAATTTAATTTTATAATAAGATAAATTTATTTCTTACCTGGCATGAATCTTAACTCCTCTATAATAAATTTTGAAAAAATGAATATTTCAAAATTTTACTAATATAACCTATTGTATAATATAACAAAAAATATTTTTGCAATTTTATTTTACTCTAACTCTAATTCTAACCTTAATAGATTTCACCTTTAAGATTTTAAAAAAAAAAAATTCTAATCTTAATATATTAATATGGCCAAGATTTTATTTTGTATTCAAGAGAAATGAATAACTTATCTAGGTGTTAAATAAGTTATTAATATAAAATATAGTCAAATCTCTCTATAATCACACCTTTGGGATACAAAAAAGGGTAATTATAGAGAAGTGTGCCAATTATAGAGATTAAATTTATTATATTTAATAATAGTTAGTTTTTAAAAATATGTGTTTATAAAAAATATATGCTTATATAGGAGGTGACTATAGAGAGGTTTGACTGTATTATATTATTTGAAATAATGATTTATTTTAAATTAATAATTTATTTTATAATTACTAATATTCAATAAATATTTGAATATTCATTAAAATTTTAAATAAATATTCGAATACTAAAAAAATTGAACAAATTAATATTCGAATACTTATTTTGAACGAGTAAGATCTCTACATATACATAAGTACTATCCCTTAAACTATAGATTTTAGCAGGCAAATTTGGCTGCTAAAATTTTAAATTTTTGTTTATAATCTAAT